TTCAACAAAGAACTGGAGCGTGAACAGCAGTATGATCGTGCCGATCTTAATGCGTTTGTGCAAAACAATGAGCCACGGTTAAATATCAACCAAAGAACGGTTTACGACCAAATATAGCGAGCTATCGAAGAACAACATGGTGGACTGTTCTTTTTGGATGCAGCGGAGGTACCGGAAAAACGTTTGTCATTTCGATTATTTTGGCTACCATTCGAGCACAAGGTAGAATCGCATTGGCTTTGGCTTCGCCTGGCATCGCTGCCACATTATTGGATGGTGGTCGCACGGCGCACTCTGCCCTTAAGTTGCCCTTGAATGTAAAGGCTGACGATAATCCTACATGCAACATTTCAAAAAGATCACCAATGGAGAGAGTGCTGCAGCAATGCTCTCTTATTGTATGGGATGAGTGTACTATGGCCAACACGAAGTCACTGGAAGCACTAAATCGTACGTTGAAAGATATTCGTGGAGATATTCGATTGTTTGGTGGTGCATTGATATTGTTAGCAGGTGATTTCAGAAAAACATTGCCTGTAGTCAAACTAGGAACTTCTGCCGATGAAATTAATGCGTGTTGGAAAACATCTAATTTTTGGCGCTCTGTGAAAACACTTAGATTGACTACAAATGTAGGTACAATTGCAAAACGATGGTTCAGCAGATTTGTTTTCCAGACAATTTTTGCACTTTTGTGTCATCGAAGGAATACTTGATTCAGAGCGTGATTCCAAATATTGTACAAAGTGTTGAGGGAAAGAGCAATTTTTGCCGGAACAAATAAAGATGTCAACGAGATCAACGCATTTTTTTTTAATTCCATCAAAGGAGAAATGGTTGCGTATAGGTCGGATGATACAATTATCAATCAAGATGATGTTGTAAATTATCCAGTCGAATTTCTAAATTCATTGGACTTACCTGGATTGCCGCCATACTATTTACAAGTAAAAGTTGGAGCCACCATAATTATGCTGCGGAGTCTTAATCCACCACGACTTTGCAATGGTACAAGACTTGCTGTGAGAAAAGTTATGACTAATTTACTTGAAGCAACTATTTTGACTGAATAGAATATTGTTTATCACAAAGCATTGCAATAAATAAAATATGTCATTACGTGAAAATTATCATTTTTTAATTTCGATAAATACCTAAACATTAAATTCATTTAGTAAGCAGTTTATATTTTTAAAGATTACAGTTTTGTCAAACATTTAAATCAAAAATGAAAGCACCCTTAATTTAATTCTAAGCTTAAATTTATGCTGGCTGTGCATATTTAGTGTGGTCAAAATAAAAAGTACACTGGAGGTATTTTGATTTTGATTGGATTTGATTGGGATTTGGTCAAAGGATTGTTGGTTTTTATTGACTCCTTGCATATTAAGGTACATGAGAGTTAAAAAAATGTCCCTATATGGGCCGAAAAAGCATTGTTCTGCTGAAGAAATGAAGATTGTCTTGAATCTTAAAAAATAAGGGAAAAGTCTTCGGGAAACTGCGAAAAGTCTTTGACGCTCGGTATATTTGGATCAGAATGCCTTAAATTTAAGATTTCTTACCGAAAATCGAAGAAGGAAGAAGAAATCTTCACAAACAACGAACACCCGCATCGCCAGTCTTGCAAAAAAGTATGCGTTCATGTCTTACAAAGCCATTTCCGCTTAAATTGGCAAAGAAATATCATCTCAGACCGTTCCTCGTAGGCGTCAATATTCAGACTTATCAGAACGTATAGCCCGAAAAGGTTCCTTACTCCGAGAAAAAAATTTTGAGATGAGGCAAAAATTTGGAGAAACAAATTTTGCATGCTCTGAGCCAGATGGGTCTTAAAAAATGAAATAATATATTATAGAGCAACAAAACAAAACCAAATATTTTTCGTAATGACTACAGGAGATATGTACGATGCTCAAAAGGCAAATAATTCGACGTCCAGTACAAAAAAAATGTTTAACCACGGAGGCGGTTGCCTTATGGTCTGAGGCTGTTTTTTTTTTGCATGGCGTTGAACCGATACATCGTAAAAAAGGATCATATGACCAAATTCAGGTATAAAAACATATTGACTGACATTATGAAACCATATGCTAAGGAAAACATATCCTTGAGGTGGGTCTTTCAACAGGACAACGACTCAAAACACACAGCAAGGCTGCTCAAGGCTTGGTTTACGGAGGGCAAGGAAATCGTTTTGAATTGGCCAAGTCAATCTTCTCACTAAAACACAATTTAAAACCTATGAGGAGCCTTCAAACGTCGCGTTGGCACAAATACATTTCGAAACTCCGAAGAATTGTGGGAATTTGTCCCAAAAACTTGGTATGAGATTCCAGTAGAGTCATTGCGCAAAATTATTGCTGGTATGCCAAAAATAATCGCCAAAGCTAAAGAAAATAAGGGTGGATATATCGGATACTATCGTAGGATTACTAATAATAAGAAAAAAGTGAAAAAATTTTTGATATGCTTTGAGTTTTTGGCTTTGTAGAATTGCTGTACTTATTATACTGACCGCCCTTTGTTTATGATTTTTATATAAAATTGATCAGAAACTATATATTTGAAGCGAAAATTGCGTATGTTAAATTTTTTTATATTCTACTGTAGGTTAGTAATCTAAAAGTTAAGTGGATTTTTTCTTTATGTTTTTTAAAAAAGTTTTACGAGATGTGAAAGAAAGCTCATGAGCGTGTACTTATTATTTTGACCAGTAGTGTACGTCGTACATACGTTACAGTTTAATACAATTTTGCGTGTCCAGTTACAGAATGAGCAATTGGCCGAGATCTTCTCACACCAGTTTCACGGTGGAGCAGGCATCCGGACGAATTTCTTTGTCGGATGATTTCTGTAATTTATAAACTTCGAGGAAAGAATTAGTGGGTGTTAGTGTGTTTCCTAATATTCAAAGAAATTATAGGAATCACGATTGGCTCATCGACCGAGCTATCCTTGCCGCCAAGAATAAAGATGTTTACGAACTCAACAATGTGATTCAGCCCAGTATTCAGAACGAGGATGTAACCTATAAGTATTAGCACCAATCAGAATAAGCGGTTAATTAAATTTTTGAATTCGTTAGGTATTCCAATTATAATGTTACGAAATACTAATCAGCCAAAAATTTACAACGAAACGCGACTTTCAGTTAAGAAATCGATGAGCAATGTAGTGGAAGCAACGATTTTGGCGCGACCGTTTAAAGATGAAGATTTTAGATTTATACAATTATTGCTTTTCACATGGACAACTTTATTTCACGTATTCCCGTGTCGGTAAACCAAATAGTCTCTATATCAACTCAGAATAAAAAAAAATAATAATAATAATATTATATACCTATGCACTCAAGATTAAACTTAAGCCTGAAATTAACCATGCAACGGGAATGTTCCACAGCGAAACGTGACAGGGTACAGCTTGTATAATAATACAACATTTAAAACAAATAGCTATCAGACCAAGGTGCCAAGAAAGTGCTCAAAGCGAAATCGGTAAAGACTGAGAGATAAGGAGAAAATTTGCACCAACAGCTAATTAAAGAGAGCGCTGCTGCACAGAAGGTTTCGTGAGAAAAAGAGTGGAGAGAGAGAGAGAGAGAGAGAGAACAGATAAGACAAAATAACGGTCTCAATGTAGTTTGAGCGTACTTATGAAAAGCAAAAACCAACAAACACCCGACTAACCGACGCACAAAATAAATAAATTATTATGTTTATTTCGCAGATTAACAGGCATGTACACTTATCTTACATTTGGTTGTAGTGAACTGAAAAATTATGATTTTTGTGCTGTATTTTTTACGAAAAATTCGAGAAAAGTCGAAAAATTTCGGAAGACTGGCCAACCAATTTTAGATCCGCCGTCTCTCCGTAAATTTTAAAGAGCAATATCTTAAACGATGCCGAATTAATTCACCTATACACAAGAAAATTGTTTCAAAAGTAAAAATTTGAAGAAAAAAAAATACCGCACAAAAATAAGCATTTTTGCTTTTGAAAGCTTAGTACCAAACGGTAAGCTGAAATCACAAAGTGTTTGGGTCTTATTTATAACTGCATTTCTTAGATTTTCAGAATGGCACAGTTCATTACAAGCAAATGTAAGATACTCAAGTTTTGTAAAAAAAATTAGGCGCTAGCTCTAAAAAAGCTTTAAATAAATACCAGTTTTCAAAAATTCTTAAAAAAAAACTTCTGCCATAGAAAAAAAAATATAATTATTTAAAGAAAATTGTAAAGCTCTCAATCTATGAGAAAAAATTGGTTTGGTTCGAAGCGGAACAAAAGGTTCAGTTTTGTCGAGTAGTGTTATCGATAAGTATAAATAATATAACTAAAATTCATGATTATCACCTAAAAAATATCCTTTAAACATAAAAAAATCTTAAGTTATGTGATTGGAAAAATATTACTTAATACATGTTGCGAATTGACTGTAAAATCGCAAAAGTGCGTGCTCCGGTTTTTGCAAATCGTAGGGTTTGTACCATTTAAAAACCGTGCTGTTAATGAGTTTGCGATATTCAATATTAAGTGCATATAGCACATGTATGTAGCGAAAATACATAAACATATATTCTGATGTTTTAAGTTTATGTTTATATAATTAGAATTTATTTTGAGATGGGTTCCAGATGTCGTCTGTTCCTTAATTCAAGAATGTTTCGCTTGGTTTCATATAATGTGAATGCTAAAACAATGTCATATTCGTCTAAAATATTCCAATATTCAAAAGAAATCTGCGTTTTTAACCAAGTGAAATATCGCAACACAATTTGGGACTAAAACACTATTGATAGCAAAAAGTGGCGAAAAATGGAGCACGCACACATCAATTCATACGAATTTGTCCAAAATTGTAATTGCGAAAACTTGCGAACACAGGAAGCACTGCTGATAATGATTTTCGTCCCTTTATCAAATTGATATATAAATTATGAAAAATTAAATTACATTATCAGACATTTTTATACACTTTCTATACATTTTCAGCGATGTGCCTCCAGATGTAGTTTCCCTAACAATAACGTTGGTGTCACGCGGCAAGCGTGGAAAGGATTCAGAAGTGGCGGAGATGACTATCGACCTGTCTGCCCTCAAGAACGGCCAAGAGACAGAAGGCTGGTATCAGCTCACTGGCATGACGCCCATGGGTGAGTGGGGCTCATTACGGCTCCGCATGCGATATCTTGATGATCTTATAATGCCTTGCGAGGAGTACAGTCCACTGCAGCAATTGCTTATTGAGCCAGAGTTATATGCAGTGAAGGCGCTAGCTGAACTATGTCACAACGATCGAGTCCCGTTGGCCACATCCCTGCTGCGAGTGTTTCGGCACGAGAAGCGTGAAACAGAGCTGATCCGCACGTTATGTCAGGCAGAGGTGGCACGTGAGAACGAGACGACAACACTTTTTCGTGGTGCCTCTCTGGCCACCACGTTGATGGACATATACATGAGGACAGAATGTAGTGGGTTTCTGCAATCCGCAGTAAGCGAAACGGTACAGAAAATTCTGGAGAGTAAGCAGTCAGCAGAGCTTAATCCGACAAAGATGGACATTAATGATGACGCCTGTACAAATGCTGAATTTCTCTTGCAAATCCTTGATCTTGTTACTCAATCGATATTCACATCGCCAGACGCATGTCCTCGCAATGTGCGCTATATCTGCAACTGTCTGCAGAAGGCTGTGATGGCCAAGTGGCCCTCTGAGCGACTGGTGCGCACGCGTGTCGTCTCTGGATTTATTTTTCTTCGCCTACTTTGCCCTGCATTGCTGAATCCGCGTCAGTTTGGCCTCGTTAGTGAAACACCGCAAACCGCAGCAACTCGTTCTCTCATAATGGTCGCAAAGTGTTTGCAAAACCTTGCTAATCTGATTGAATTTGGTGGTAAGGTATGTTTAAAAGATTTTAAAATGTTGCGGTTGGTGCAATAATAAACAACTCACCATTCTTCATTTCCATTTATTTCTGTTAAAAACCAAAAACTATTTATAACGTCATTGCGAATTAGTACCCTTCAGTACGCGTCACCCATACATAAAAAAAACTGGTTAATTTAATATGGAATATGAATTTTTAATCAATTCTTCACTTAATATTGACTGAATTCTTTTAATAAGTTTATTATGTTTATAATTTTACATTTACTTATGTTAAAAATCGCGGACTGTTACGTTACGTCCTCACGCCTTTTCTAACGGGAAGTGTCCAAAAACACATGAAACTGTGTATTTTTAATATTTATTAAGTTTCCAATCAAAATTTTAAATCTGTATTGAGATTTTATGTTCACATACATTTTTCTATACGCGCTGCTATGTAAGAGCTATGAACGCCCCTCTTCTTACTAATTTTATTATATGGTGGTTTGGTGATTAACAAATTTTAGAAACTTGAAATATTTTAAATAATTATTTTCTTTATCAAGAAAAAATAACATACAACATTTTTTCAACGAAAGTTGATATATGATCGATTGTGAGCAAACGCAGCACCCATTTTGCGGACAGCTTTTTTATACCCAAGTGATCATTCAAAATTGAAACCACTCAGCCATGTGGTTGCCTATGGCTTCCAGAACATCTTGCAATTTCAATCTCAGATCGGGCAATACCATATCGTGAATTTTTTTTTAATTCTTCGGTTATATGACCATAACTGGCCGTCTAGGATGTGCGGTTTCGTTTGTGCTTGTACGGGCACAACGAAAAGCAATAAACCACTTTTTTACAGTTGAAATGGATGGACAAAAAAGATCCCATAATATATAATATGTATGTATGTATATGTATATATATACTCGTATATATATATATATTATAATATCAAGCTTTTCCTTGGTTTCAATATATATTTTTTTCCTCAAAAAAAAAAAATAATAAAATAAATAAGATGTATTTAAAACCAAAAATTTTTAAAACTTGTTATTTATGTAAAAGGAACATAAAGAATTCAAAAAATATGATATTAAAAATAATTAATTCAGTTTTTGTTTTGTCATGGGATAAATAAAAAGGACATTAGGCAATATTGGGGAATTTTTAAGTGATCCAAAATTGTTTGGCTTGGCTTATTTTTAAACTTTTCTAATTAAAAGTACAAAATCCAGGTGTAAGGATTAAACAGAAAAAAAAACGAGAAGAAACGTGTGAGTCGATTCTGGGAACCCGATTCTACTTATACCCGTACTCAGTCAGTATATACATTTTTGAGCTTATGATTTTTTAGAGTTTTCGGCCGATGGGCCGAATTGCCTGTGCAGAACATCAGAAGCGAACGATAGAAAGAGAGCGTTATAGCAGCTCGGGGCTGCTGATAAGCTGTGAGCGAACGTTAGATAGAGCAAAATAAAAGTGCAGGAGCGAAAAAGATGGAATAGACAGAAGATAGAACAGCCGCTGTTGGCGTAAGAATGTGCGAGAACAATGTTTATGCACAATGAGAAAATTAAATGGAAAACAAAGAATTATATGTTCATCATGGTTTTTAAAATAAGAAAGTGCAAAAACTGAATTTAAATTTTGAGTACGCTGTTTTGTTTTTGCATAAGTTTTCCATTATTTAAAATTGTTTTTTTGAAATGCATTTTGGAAATAATTTTTCTGATCATGGACAACGAATTCATGAAATGGGGACGAAAATCACAGATATTGCAAAAATAGTTAACTCTAATAGGAAAAATGCCCCCGTCCATTATCTACCCAATATTGCAGACCAGTGATGTTCAAATATCAAAAGACACTTTTTCGTTCGCTCGTGGCGTCGTTGCTCAGTGAAAAACAGCAACAAAACAGAATTGCAAAATCGGGTCTTTGCTTGCACGAAGAGCGAAATGAGCAAAGACAGATCTTATCGTGTCTTTTCTGTCTCAATTCGCAATGTGTCCGTAAATGAGAGGTTTTTTCAGACACCCTGAAAGTGTTGACCGTTTTTTGCGAGCTATGCTCTAAACTGTACTTCTAAAAAAAATATATATGTATATATATGTATATGTATGTATGTATATGTATGTATGTATATGTATATATATATTTTTTTTTACCTATTGAAGAACCAAAAATCGTATTACTGAGCATGGTTATAAATGGAACTGTTTTTAAAATTGTTAATTAATATTAATATTAAAATTTGTCCTTCAATCTATTTATTTTTTAAGGAACAATACATGGAGGTTGTAAATCCGTTTATACTAAAAAATAAGGAGCGTATGATTGTATTCTTGGATCAGCTATCTCTCGGTTCTGAAACGAATGCACCGTTGGGAGTGTTTGTCGAACAGAGTTTAAATCATAATGCACAAGACACCGGTATACTTAATTGAACACACCTTATATCCTATTTATTTATATATGCACACTTACAGGACGCGAGCTAGCTACATTGCATCACATCTGTGTATCATATTTGCCAGAACTGCAGGAGCTATCGAACATACTCTCAATCAAGAAGCTCGTCACAGTTACGGATATGTTGACCAAGCATAAGCTGAAATATCGCGAGATGATCAGCTAAACCTCGATTGAATCAGTTTAAGACTAACACAGCCATCGCAACTTCCGTTGCAATACAGCGCTCAGTTCTAAGTACATATTAGTGTTTAACTTATTTTAAAACTGTAATTATGACCAAAAATATTTTTGGCAGTTTAAATTTAAAATATTTATGTTTATAGATCTTAAAATATGTGTGTGCTAAATTATGCAGTGGATTGAATGCAAACAATTATATATACCATTATTTCTTTATACATATATGCCGTATATTGAATGTATCCATATGACTTCATAAATAAATATAACATTATATTCAACAGCTAGCACAAAATATTAAGTAAAAACATAAGTGCTTTAAAAATGGCTAATGATCTAGAATTACTCAAAATATGAGCAAAGAATTAAATTTTAAGAAAATCAACACAATTAATAAGCATGGGAATTCATTGAAAGAGTAGTTACTCCAGCCCTTGCTCTTTTCTGTGCCGATGCTGTCGTATAAGTGCAGATGTCGCCTCGTGCATCTCTCTTCTCTTTATGATCGAGGGACCATTGCGGCTCAGATTTTGCTCTTTTATTGGGTAACGTCGATTTTGCTTAGAAGGATTGGATTCAATTTGCCTGCCTAAGGGTAGATGCACCCTTTGTGGTTCCATGTTTCAGTTCCACAACTACAACGCACAGTGGGGCCTCAGCTGAAATGAGGTGGCTTGGATAATATGAGTATAAAATATCAGGTCATGTTTGGAGAAGACAAGAATGTTGGGCAGTTGGTCATATATAAGTATTTTGTTGGCGTTGTTTACAAATAAATAAATAAACCATCATTATTGTTCTATATTTGCACTGCCTACTGTAAACAGCCATTGTACATGCTTACGCACGGCAGCAGCCGTTCTCTCGGTTCATTACTACGCCTTCTTTGTTACAATTGGCGCCCAACGTGGGGCCTGGGACAAAGTAAGATCGATTTAGGGAAGGCAGTGCCGAGTTCAAAAGGAAGGAATGGGGAGACGACAAGGGATCCACGCGATGAGGAAGGAGGATCTGGTTCAATGTGGCCTAGCCTTTGGACTTCAGCTGGAAGGCACGCTGTCCGAAATACGCCGAGCATGTATAGGCTGGAACTGGATATGTGGACGTGGCGCAGCTTCCGGGCTTTCTTCCTACCGAGGGCATATTTCGAAAAAATGCTCCAGGAGGTGAGAACACGGAAGCAGAAATGGGGAGAAGCCTTCAAGGACTACATGGTGGAGACGCAGACGCTCGTCCGGCCATTGAGGTGCCCCCCGGAGGAGGAATTGGAACTAATCAGAGAGAACAGCATACCGGGTCTGAGTATGTTCATCCGACCACATAGATTCTAGGATCTGGAAACACTGATGACCCTGACGGATGAGTTTGAAGCACTGGAGAGGGATCGGGTGGAATTCCAGCGAGAGGATCCTACGAGTCGGTCGAAGGCCAATAGTCCGTTCACGAACACGGCTGGACCGGAGGTATGTCGCAGATGCAAGGATGAACCAGAAACCAACACCACCAAATCCGCGGACCGAAAGCCAACGGCAGAAGACCCAGTAGACACCAACGTGGAAGGGGGGTTCGTGAACAACCCCGCACAGGCATGTCGGCGTTGTGGGAGTGATGCCCATTGGGAGGAAGCATGCACAGGTCGCCCACTGACTGGCGGTGCGGCAATACTGCAGACGGGCGGGAAACGCCCCGCGACCCAAGCCGCGGATGGCCGTGCCAGGGTCGCAAGAGGTGGCCCCAACAACCTAGTCGGCGGACTTGCCGAGGAGGAAGTGCAGCTATCCTCTGTTGTGGTGATCGCAGAAAGGCCCCGGTGGATACCGGGCCACTAGCAGTTTCATTAGCTGCGAATTGGCGTAACAACTGCGAATTGGCGTAGCAGTTGTGGGGAGTCGGCTGCGAGCACGACTCAAAGAAACGCGTCACGAGGTGAATACCGAACTCGAGGTAGCCAGCTCCCAGCCAATGTCAAAGAGCTACGGCAGTATCTGGGGGTGGCCTCCTGGTATCGGAGGCTTGCGACCGATTTCGCCACACTAGTGTAGCTCCTGAGTGCCCCTACAGACGGATGCCAGTGATTATGGGCTGGGCGCTATTCTTACCCAGGAAACCGAGAGAGGCGAGAGAGTCATCTCGTACGCCAGTGGAACGCTCAATAGTGCTGAGAGGAACTACTCGGGGAGAGTCGCCCGGTGGGCCCTGGAACTACAGCAGTACGATTTCGAGATAGCGCACAGAAAAGGACAACTCAATGTGGCGGCAGACGCGCTCTCCCGGCAGCCGCTGATGGAGCGGTGTCTACCAGTAGGCGAAGAACCAGCCGAAGGTCCAGAAACCGAGACCCCATGTGAGTGGATAGCGAAAGTGAAGGACCAGATCAAAAAGGAACCCGAGAAGTTCCCAGAATACGTGGAGGAGGGTGTATAGGCACATTCCCCACAGAGGGGACGAAGAGGTCGCAGCATGGAAGATGTGTGTCCCAAGAGACCTGCGGAATAGTCATTAAGGAAAATCACGACACACCGGAGGCGGGACACGCTGTTGGACGGAAAACCATTGCGCGAGTAGCGGGACGGTATTACTGGCCCGGGATGCACAGGGACTTGAGGAAGTGCGAGGTATGTCTACGTTTCAAGCCGAACCAACGACAGGCAGCAGGGAAGATGCTTACCCAGGTGCCCGAGTAACCTTTGGCGACAGTTGGCACGGACTTCGAGGGACCACTGCCCAGATCCAAGCAGGGGAATTCAATGCTGCTGGTGCTGGTGGACCTGTTCTCGAAATGGACCGAGTTGGTGCCCCCAAGGAAAGCCACGGCGGAAACACTCACGAAAGCGGTTCCCGAACGGATTGTGGCCAGGTTCGGAGTGCCGAAGGTAGTAATTACTGACAACGAAGTCCAGCTTACGAGCCGGATGTTCAAGAAGTTTTTAGAACAGATGGGGGTCAGACACCAGTTCACGGCACCATACACGCCGCAGGAGAATCCAACAGAACGCACGAACAGGACAGTGAAAACCATGATTGCACAATTTTGCGAAGGGGACCAGAGATGCTGGGACGAGAAGTGGCCAGAACTCATGTTGGCAGTGAACTCCGGCTCTCGGACTCCACGGGATACTCGCCAGCCTTTATTGTCCAAGGCAGAGAACCACGATTGCCTAAAGCTCTATTTGATGAGGAAACATTAGGGACTGGGCAGTGCACGCTCACTCCGGACGAAAACGCGACCAAGCTGAGAGAACTGTTTCATCGCAGGACATCGCAGGACCAGGCGAGATTCTACAATCTAAGAAAAAGGTCATGGAAGCCAAAGATCGGAGAGGTAGTGTTGGCCAAACATCACCATTTGTACAATGCGGCTGAGAGATTTGCAGCAGAATTGGCGCCAAAGTACGCAGATCCATACACTTCGTGTCACCCGTCTTCTGCAAGCTGAAGAGCGACAGCGATAAGCGGATAAGGACGGCTTACATTAGCGATCTGAAACCACAACCTAGTAAGGAGGGGACATAGGGCATAACCCAAGAAGGGGACGGCAGGCAGGACGAGCGCTACAAGGAGGCAAAGGAAGGAAGCAAGGAGTCAAACCGGGGTGAGCTGCAGGATCGGATGCGAAAAGGCCTTGAAAAAAAAGGAGGAGCATGAAAATGGGCCTGTAAAAATGGTCAGGGATAAATTGACATTAATCAATGTCAAGAATGCGATTCCAACAACGGATGATACCTGTGTATATACCTGTGACCTGTGTATAATAAACCGTACAGTAAACGAAAAGACAATAAAGGACAGATACCCAATGGCTGTAGTTGAAGAGGTGTTGGACAAGTTAGGAAATGCAAAATATTTGTCGGTGCTAGATCTAGCTAGTGGATACCATCAGATCGAGGGAACAAGGCGTGCCAAAGACTGTCTTTACAACCGAAAGCGGTCATTTCGAATACGTTAGAAGGCCATTTGAGTTAACCAATGCCCCGGCGACCTTTCAAAGGGTAATGAACAACATGATGTGAGACCTCATTGGAAAAGTATACCTGGTATACATGAATGATATCATCGTGTACTCACCATCTCTCCAGAGCCACATGCAGGACATGCGCACAGTTTTCCAGAAGCTTAGTGACGCAAGATTTAAGTTACAAACAGATAAAACGGACTGTTTGAGGAAGGAAGGGCTAAGCCAACCCCTAAGGAAATCGAATCAATTAAGCGATTCCCGATGCCGAAAATAAAAGATATAAAATCTTTCTTGGGAATAGCAGGTTATTATAGGAAGTTTATAAAATATTTTGCAAGGATTACAAAGCCACAAACAAAGAGATTATAAGGAAAACAAACAATTGAGATAGATGACGAATATGTCAGAACCTTTGAATATTGTAACATATTGTTGAGATATCCGGAGTTTACAAAACGATTTATATTGACCATGGATGCAAGCAGTTTTGCTATAAGAGCGGTATTATCCCAAGGAGCAATGGGCGCTGATAGACCCATAGCGTTTGCAAGCAGGACGTTGAAGGATGCCGAAGCGAATTATTAAACGGTATAGAAGGAGATGCTTGAGCAGAGTAGAATTAGGGGTTCACACCAGTGAGCAAGACTCGGAACAGGCGACATGTGAAAATACTGACTACATTACAGATATGGATTTAAACAACAGAATAGCTGACAAACCAATTAATGACTTTAATATACAGATCATATTTGAAATAGGACCCACGCCTAATCGTACAGTGACGATACCATTCAAGCATTTGATAAAGAAGGAATGGCTAGACTTATGAAAGAGTTAGTTAAACCTCTTGGACTTGCGCGATATACGCTTCTGACGATTTATTTGAAATAATTCAGGACGAATACATGGACTACTTTAGTAAGGCCAAGTTGTATAGAATTCTGAGATGCTTGACTAAATTGGAGGAAATACAAGAGCGGGACGACCAAGATCGCGAAGTATCACCGTAGGGAATCATAGGGGAATAGATGAAACATTTTGGCGCATGAGACGACATGTCTATTTTCCGTATATGAGAAACAAGATAGCACAGATTACACTACTCGACAAAATTGAACTTTTTCTTCCCGCTGTGAACCAAAATTACTTTTTCTGATAGATTTAAAAGTTATAGTATCACGTTTCTTTTTTATGGTTTAGTTTTTTTTTTAAGAATTTTTGAATTTTGGTATTTTTTTCATATTTTTTTCCGCGGTAGTGCTTCTATTTTTCAGGAAGGAAATAAAAGGGACCTGTAATTTTGGTTTTACCGATTCCTAACTATGGACAGTTACTTTTACTCCAATGCTGTGAAGAAAACCAGCGATTCACGGCTCTGAATATTTCTTTTGTTCATTCAAA